CTAGGCAATACAATATTCTATAATAGCTGACAGGTGAGTACAGCAAAGAAAAAAATAATCTAGCAAATAGACATATTCGAATTCTATAACTGGCAAAAAAATTTTAGTTAGAAGGCAACTCAAGGATCGCCTGGCCCATGCCCATCATTGTCTCTGAGCTGACTCTAGGGTTGCAAGTGGCGGCTCTTAGGGAAAAAGGAGTGAGGAGAGTCCGCAGCAGACCTCCTCCATCCCCACCCCTTCCAGTATAGAAGCCCAATTTTTAAAAACATTTTTAATGTTTCTTTATTTTTGAGAAAGAGACAGAGTAGGAGCAGGGGAAGGGCAGAGAGAGAAGCAGACACAGAATCTGAGGCAGGCTCCAGGCTCCAAGCTGTCAGCCCTGAGCCCGACGCGGGGCTCGAACTCACAAACCTTGAGATCGTGACCTGAGCCGAAGTCGGGTGCTCAACCGACTGAGCCACCTAGGCACCCCTAGAAGCTCAATTTTTATCTCTTACTCCACTCAAAAGTTCAGTTGAGGAAATGGTTTCTCTGGCTAAAAATAATTTAAGAATTGCCTATGTAGCCAAGACCATTCTTTTCATAAAGGAGTAAAATGAATGCCAGAGTAATTAGGGAATTCTTAATTTTAGTGTTGGACCCTGGGTCATATCTTCCTCTCCACCCAGTGCTCTTTCCTCATGGTGCCATGCTGTCTCTTACTCTTAGGGAGCAAATCAATGAGAATTCCCATGTCTTTGGAATTGGGCCTTTTTTTTGTTTGTTTGTTTGTTTTTTTGTTTTTGAATAGCCATAAGGGAAACCCAATGAAGCCAAATTAGTATGAGAAGACTCATAAACGATATACTGAAAGCAAAAGCATAGTCTGCAATTGTACTCTTTTGTCTATATCGTTTCCGGTCTCACTGGAGAATTCTATCATCGACCAGCACCTGGAAGGGGTCAGGAGGGAGGGTAGAAAAGGCCTAGTTCCATTTTCATATGTTACCAAATGTACTGCTGTTAAGATTGAGAGAAGTAAAGATTTCAGTAGGATACTTGGTGAAAACTTGCTGACATTAATGACTCAAATTCTCAGAGAGACTGCAAGGAAAATGGTGTCATCACTGTCATTCAAGACATTGAAGATGAAATTTCAAAAGGAGGCTGTCAGGCATAATGACTGCCAGGTTCTATTCTATCATTCTCAGAGGGTGGATCACATACACTACTATGCAGCCGGTGGGTGGTTGATATTGAAGTTTGAAAGGAAGCTGCAGAGAGGAGGTGGGGTGGGCGTAAGACCCGAGAGGGACTGCTTCACAACCAGAAGATATCACCGTTGACATTCTCATGGTGATTTGGGGTAAATCTGTGATCTGGGGCCGAGGCTTTAGTCTGAGATAGGCTGAAACCTGACCCATCGGGACATTTTGACAAGATCATGATCTTAGTGCGGAACAAAATTCAGGAAATTTGAGCTGTAAATGGTTGTACCAATTTATTAATTTACAGTAAGGAAATTTCTCTCTGGTGTCTGAATGTTCATGTGTGCATGCACTCCAGCACTGAGATACCTGTGAACCCTAGTCAGCAATCAGAAGGCAGCTGTGTGAGAAGAGCCCTCGTTCTCAACCTTGGCTGCCCCCTGCAACTCCCCAAGGTGCTTCAACACTGAGGCCATCCCCTAAAATAAATAAATCTGAATCTCAAGGATTAGGGCCCAGACATTAGTATTTTAAAAGTCTCCTCCAATGATTCCAAAGGGCAGTCAAGGCAGAGAATCACTGGGTCAGAGCAGAAGATGTTGTCTATGCAGGTTGCCATGAGCCTGAGGCCTCATCCTTTCCACACAGGGGTCCATGCTTTTGCACACTATAGACCGTGGGTTGGTTGGTTGTTTAAACTCGGAACAGATAGAAGTTTGCCATTAAAAAAAATTGTTTTAATGTTTATTTTTGAGAGAGAGAGAGAGAGAGAGAGAGAGAGAGCAAGCAGGGGAGGGGCAGAGAGAGCGGGAGAAAGAGGATCTGAAGCAGGCTCTGCACTGATAGCAGAGAGCCCAACGCAGGGCTGGAACTCACCAGCCGTGAGGTCATGACCTGAGCCAAAGTCAGGTGCTTCCCCGACTGAGCCACCTGGGCACCCTGCCAATTTTTTTTAATTTGCCAAGTGAGGATGTATTTAATGATCACTATTCATTAAAGAAAGGAAATTTTAACAAAGATTAAGAAGGACATAATTTTACAATAAAAGAACTATGTTGGATTTCTTTTTCTTCTGTTTCTACGGATCAGGGAAAACCCCACTGTAGGCTGAGGCACACTTAAGAACTGGTGTGATCTAACTGCTCTCTATATCCAGTCAAGGCTTATCTTCCTGGATCGCTTACCATACCATGGGTTGGGGTTTGGTTCACATTAAACCACTGCCCCATGCTAACGACTCCTCTCTTACCACAGCCTTTCCATAGATGTACTCATAGTATTGATTACGTTGTAAATAATTTCTGCCCCCAGGCTTGGAAATATTCTGCCTCTTCCAATTACAGAATATGCTGATTTAATTAGCATAGCTCTTCTTCAACATCTCAAACTAAGGTTTCTAGAATGGGTGTAGCACATGTAACCCCAGATAACCGCTTCTTGGGGGCACTGCTGCTCCCTTGTTTCATTACTGGACAATGATGACAATTATTCGAAATCCAGCGAAGAATTCATTGGGAGGGCAAATAACCTGTGGTGAGTTGTTTATTGTGGGTGTCAAGTTACATGAAATGAAAAAGCTTACTTAGATTGGAAACTTAATTTTGAGTGCCTCTTTGGAAACTAGTGTGTGCTCTGTTTTTCTGTGGTCGTGGTTTATGTTGCCCCCTTCCTCCTCTGAAGGGCCACGGGCATTTTGGGATCAGTTCTATACTTACTTGTCTATCTTTCACAAGACAGCCTCTGGGGGCGCCTGGGTGGCTCAGTCGCTGAAGCATCTGACTTCGGCTCAGGTCATGATCTCATAGCTCGTGAGTTTGAACCCCGAGTTAGGCTCTGTGTTGACAGCTCAGAGCCTGGAGCCTGCTTCAGATTCTGTCTCCATCTTTCCATCTTTCTCTGCCCTCCCCTGCTCTTTCTCTAATATAAACAAACATTAAAAAAAAAAAATCAAAACAACAACAAGATAGCCTCTGGAAGCTACTAAGAGAGGGTAGCTGTGCCAGGAAGTCCAAGACTGTACGTAAAGTCCCCCTCAAAGTGCACATAACCTTGAGATTCACTTATGCTGACAGTGGCATAAAATACATCTTCCGTTATTAACTTCTCTTAAGCTGACATGCTTAAAAGTGGATCAAGAGAATAGAAACCAGCATCAATATGTGCTTTTGACCAAGTGGGAAAATTCTGTTCGAAGATACCTGTGTTCTCCAAGCATCCAAGATGTACAATTAGTGAGGATTGCTCTGCCTTATTACTCCCAGCCCAATACAACCCAAGATGAAGAGCTTGTCTTCTCTTCAAGGCCAAGGGCTTTGCTCAGGATAGCAGATAAACCTCAAAATGAGAACACCTGGATTTGAATCCCAGCTCCATTACTCTCTTGGGCAAGTTGCTGGGTCTCTCTGAGCCTCAGTTTCCTTATCTATAAAATGGAGATATCATTTTCATCATCACTTCATACAGTGATTGTGAGGACTAAATAATATAATTTAGGTAAAATACTGAGCAATATACCATGCATACTAAGTTCTCACTAGAAGTTAGGCTCTGGGTCAGAGCCTAGCACAATAATGTGCCATACAATAGATACTCAGTAAACACACACACACACACACACACACACACACACACACACACACACATTCTGTGTCTGAAGGGAAAATCTCAGTAGAAATGCTGAGGTAAAAATTTGTTACTAAGTTCTCGACGTTAGTTTTCAGACATTAACGATGTAACCTGACTTACTTGCTATTTAATCTTGCTCATGAATTTGTCTCTTGTCTCTCTGATGACTTCTCCTAGGACCCTTGCTTTTCTGTGGTAAATTCCTTTTTTTTTTTTTTTTTTTTAATTTACTTGAGAGAGAGAGAGAGAGAGAGAAGCAGAGAGAGAGAGAGAATCCCAAGCAGGCTCCATGCTGTCAGTACAGAACCCAATGCAGGGCTCAAACTCACAAACCATGAGATCATGACCTGAGCCAAAATCAAGAGTTGGACACTTAATTGACTGAGCCACCCAGGTACCCTGTGGTGAATTCTTAGAGCAGACTATATGAACACAATCTCTTCTTTCCATGACAGTGCCCTTCTCTTCTTTATAGATTCAGATATTTCTCAGACCCAGAACCTCATTTCCTTGCTAGAGTCCTGAAGCAGCAAAGCATTTTGAAGGAAAGCTTTTAGAAAACTAGATATTTGCACCTGTGCCCCAGGAAAAATTGGAATGAACTTTTCTATGATTCCAAATCATGGATTGGGAAGAAAAGGAGTTAGGGGGACAGGCCCTGATGGTTGGTCTAGGGCACTTCATATTGACACAGAACCCAACTCAGTTCAATATTTTATCCTGTTACATTAACATTTTCCAAAATCAATTAATTACCAAGAAATACATATATGTTCTTCTTCTGTCCACACGCCTCTTCAGCCCCCATCAAAAATGAAAACAGAAACACATCAAAAAATGCACTTCTCAGGTTGCTGAAAATCTGCCATAGGAGCCAAGCCTGTTTCTGAAAGTTTCAACTCATCCAATCAGACAAAAGGCTGAGGAAAGGGGAGGCATTTATCAAGTTACAGGGAGGACTCCATCTGTTATCTTAGACCTTTGTTACCAAGTGACACAAGAGGAGATTGTCGAAGGCAGCATGAAAGAGTTTTATTTTACAGACTCTTAGTCCAAAGCTTCCAAATTAGAGAGAAGCAGCAGCAGGAAAGAAGTCAAGTAAGTATGATGAAGAAGTCTCCATATCCTGCCATTCTACTGACGAGAACCACCGTTGAGGGTGAAGGTGCCTCTGTGGCCGGGATCTGTCCATTCAGCTTCTACAATAAATGCAGCCAAAGGGGCAGTCACTTCTCATCAGTCACAAAAGTCTCCTCTTTAGACCTCACTCTCACAAAAGCCATTTCTCATCATGCCAAACCAACAAAAGAAAGTCATTTTTTGTATGGCTGGGGTGTTAAGCTTCGTGTGCGCCCTTGGAGTTGTGACAGCCCTGGGGACACCGTTGTGGATCAAAGCCACCTTCCTCTGCAAAACAGGGGCTCTGCTCGTCAATGCCTCTGGGCAGGAGCTGGACAAGTTCATGGGAGAAATGCAGTACGGGCTTTTCCACGGAGAGGGTGTGAGGCAGTGCGGGCTGGGAGCGAGGCCCTTTCGGTTCTCACGTAAGTAACAATTGCATTTGAATTATTTAATACTTTAGGCGCGCTCTCCCAATTGTTACAAGGAATTACTTTTAAGAAGGAATTATTTTTAAGAGCCTTGCCCTGTCTATTACAAGCCTCTTAAAACAGACGTGAACCATTTGAAATACCTAGGACTCTTGTGAGCAATTTCTTCTTCCTACTTTTTACTATTTTGTTCTTATTATTTTATTCTGTTTTTATTATGACAATATATAGTTAATGAGTTGGTATGGAATTAAGCTTTTTGAGAAGGTAAGCAATTAAATTCTCTTAAACATTAATATTTATGCTAGAAATTTTGGTATCTTTTTAAAGGGGGGGGCAACTTGGACAAATAGAAAGCTGTAAGAGACGATCTTCTTTTTGTTCTTAAAACAAAACAAAAAGGTCAGTGTCATGGGTCCTTAAGCAACTCTAACTTCTTTTCCACCTTGCTCATGACTTTGTACCCCATCTATCCCTCTTTTATCCCTGATAGCACCTTTCCTGCTGCTAATATTTTTTTTTCTTCTTTCACCAATGTGAATCACTTGGCTTTTGGAATTTAAAGCAGATCTGCTATGCTAACTGGGAAAGAAACAGATGCCTATTTAGGATAGAAAATTTGCAACTGATTGACCTTCAAATCATGTAGAGAATATGAGATGGGTTTTCTGTTCGATTTTTGTGAGATGGAAGTGTTACCCACAGTATTTATAACCTGTTTATCTTAAGAAGAGAATTTTTAAAAAATTACCATGTGAATAGGCAACTCATTAAATGAAAATTAATAAGAAGGCATTTGTTATATCTCTCACAACACACATTCAGAAATTATTATTATTTCAAAAGGGCTGGTTTGGAACAATCTTATGAAGAAACAGCCAGTAAATTACTGCATAAATCACTCTTCAGGAAAGGAGGTTACCAAGTGAGGCATTTAAAATGAATTATTATTTTGCCTGGGTATTTTTTTTTTCTCTAGCATAGGTAGAAAGCTAAATTAATTGAATTTATTATTAACATATGCAGTGTCTAATTAAATTTCAGTGCTGGCCTATTTATATTTCTGCAACATTCCTTCTATCTTCTTTGCAGTCACTGGACACCAACTTTCACTCATATAGGTTATTAGGTGATACAAATTGTCACAGGGCTCCAAAAAATCCTCAAGAATTAGTCTTTAGCTTTTCGGAAAATTATCATCCACTAGATTTGATGAAGTGAATACCAACTCTTTTCGCTGAATGGCTTCAGTTCATTAAGGTAATGGGGCTGTTAAAGTTGCTTAGCTGTCCTTGGGGGGAAAAAAGAACAAAGTAGATCACATGATTTGCAACTGTATTAAAAAATAAAAGAGGAAAAAAGATGAGTGGAATTAGGTAACTCTCATTCATTGACAGCTAAAAAGCGAGAGGAAAGCTTCTCACACATGAATTTAGACAAAAGCAGGGACCATACAGTGAGTTTTCTGGAGCCTTTGCATTTTGTACAGTGAAACAGAGATCAGCTTTACTCATACCATAGGACAGGTTTCAAACGGTAGGTTTTGTGAACACTTACAAGACATGAAGCACGAAGCGTGTTTTGTCTTATTTAATCCTCACAAAGCCACATGCCTCAGCGGTTTGATGAATAGTTTTCATGGCCGTGTCCTCTGCTAGCTCTGTCTGTGACGCCGTTGTGTTAGTCAGGTGGCCTACCCTTTGCTTTTGTGCGGACTCATAGAGTCGTGGGGTTTAGACAATACCTTCACCTATGACAGAATTTCATTTGTCCTTGTGATACTTTGAACATTTCCCCCCACCCTCGTTAAGAAGATCTTACATTTGTTAGTCTGTTCTGTGGTGACAGCCTCTCTGTGTAACCTATCTCTACCCCAGACGTGTTAAAACCTCATTAATTTCTTTTTTTTTTTTTAATGTATTTACTTTGAGAGAGAGAAAGAGAGAGAGAGAGAGAGAGAGAGAGAGAATGAATCCCAAGCAGGCTCCACACTGCCAGCATGGAGCCCGAGGTGGGGCTTGAACTCACAAACCATGAGACCATGACCTGAGCCAAAATCTAGAGTTGGATGCTTAACCGACTGAGCACCCAGGCACCCCAAAACCTCATTAACTTCAATGAGACCCTGCAAAGTATACCTACAGTATCACTTTTGCTGCCTAAGCTTAGAAGTATCTCTTTCAATGGAACACAAGAGAAAGTTAGGAAAAGTGAATACTGGATTCCCTAAAAAGCATAATGCTCATTAATTTTCTTAAATGTTTGTTTATTTTGAGAGAGAGAGAGAGAGAGAGAGAGGGCAACAGCGGGGGTGGGCAGAGAGAGGGGGAGAGAGAGAGAGAGAGAGAGAGAGAGAGAGAGAGAGAATCCCAAACAGGCTCTGCACTGTCAGCACCGAGCCCGATAGGGCTCCATCTCATGAACCAGGAGATTATGACCTGAGCCTAAATCAAGAGTCCGTCGCTTAACCAACTGAGCCACCCAGGTGCCCTGCATAGTGCTTATTGAAACAAGCAGCCCTCTCAGTGATAAAAACTTCCTCACCAATATGCCTTTCGAACATCCTGCACTGAATTGACACTCCTGCTACAGGAAGGCTTCACGGTCCATATCTTCACGTTCAAAATGCCATCACCCTGTCAGTGACGTTCTAACAACGCATTCTTGAAGGAAGAGAGCCCTCAGATCATTCGCCTGAGAGAAAAGTGTAGTCCTGTTACTGTAAGAGAATGGGAGGCCTAACCCTGTTTTCTCAATAATGGCGTCCTTCGAGCAAAATGTAGAGCCCCCAGAGAGCTCAGGGTAGATGATTCTTTCCTGTTTCTTCCAGAGCCCAAGTTATGATTAGGGCACAACTCACTTCCCAGAACTTTTCCCTTTCTCATATTCCCCTTAGAAAAGTTATTAAGCAAACATTTGGATTGAAGGAACTTTCCAATGTAGGAGGAATGGAAAAGGCAGCTCGTCCAACTATCAATCGCTTCGTGACCCGGTTCTTCGCGCTGTGGAGGCAGCATCAGTTAATACAGATTTACATTTCGGTTCTGTGGGATTGCTAAATGCTACCTCGCTGACCAAACTTTTCATTTAGATCAGCACTGGTCAACAGAAATACAATACGCAGGCCACATATGTAATTTTAAATGTTCTAGTAGTCATACTAGAAAAAAGGAGTAAAGGAAACAAGTGAAATGAATTGCGATGACATTTTTCTTTAACCCAAGAAACCCAGAATACTGTCATTTTAACATGTAGTCAACGTAAGAGATATTTTACTTTTTTTGTGCTAAGTCCTTAAAATCTAGTGTATATTTTAACTTACACCATGCCTCCATCCAAACTAGCCACATTTCAAGGGCTCACCAGCCATTTCAATGTGGCTAATAGCTATCACAACTGGACAGTGCAAACTCAGCTAGAGATTTACTCTGAGTAAATTGGGCGTTGACAGTGTCCATATTCTAAATGAATTTTTGCTTGGTTCTGCTGCACAAGTGTACGTGTTATTTTTACGGGCAGTGCCATGTGTCACTTTTAAAACCCAGATATATAGTGCAACATGAGGATAAGGAATGGAGCAGAAAAACCGTCAGGCACTGTTGTCATGTTTGTTCCTATTAAACGTTCCCTACTGACCACTCTATCTCTTTTAATTATAACAAGAATCTTTCCTGCCAGCATGCACAGTTATGCCGGGAAAACTTCTGCCTCGTTTACTCTGGCTGATTCTCATCCACTTATGGGTCAGCGCTTCATTTTCTAGAGGTCACTAGCATTCATACCTAGCACACAATTTCATTCATTATGATGAAGGGCTGTTTTCCTTTCAAGGAAACACAACCAGTGGGCTTAATTTTTCCTGATATGTCACCTGTAAAATTTTAATGATGATGTTTCAACTCGTACTGTAGCCATCAAGACAAAAACTGCCAGTTTTGAGCTTAGTATGTGCGGGTGGGTTTCTGTTTTGGTGCTTGGAAACAGTGTAGAGCATCATCAAAATAGGATACCCAAGAATCATATGGTATCAATCATTCCTAGATATGCTGGTCTATTTATTGCCAAGATAGTTCAATGAGCTGGTAAAAACATATGGAATTTTTTTTTTTTGGAATGTGAAAAATAAGATCTCACCAATCATGGATCACAGATTGCAACTTTAGTCATACTTTTAAAAGCATTTTAATTGAGACCTTATGATTGAAAATGTGTTAAAAAGCTTAACAGAGATTTAACTTACTTCATATTTTTTTAAGTTTATTTATTTTGAGAGAGAGAGAGAGAGAGAAAGTCCACACAAGTGGGGGAGGGGCAGAGAGAAGGAGAGACAGAATCCCAAGCAGGCTCTGCACCATCAGCCCAGAGTTCGATGTGGGGCTTGACCTCACGAACAGTGAGATCATGACCTGAGCCGAGATCAAGAGTCAGATGCTTAACCAACTGTGCCACCCAGGCGCCCCAAAAATCTCATGTTTTTTTTAAGTGGGCTTCATGCCCAGTACGGAGACCAATGCAGGGCTTGAACTCAGGACCCTGAGACCATAACCTGAGCTGAGATCAAGAGCCAGACGCTTAACTGAGCCACCCAGGCACCACCACCCCCCCCCTTCATATTTTTAGAAAGCAGAGTTTCTTTACCAAATGAGGCACATCACCCAGGTTACAGAGGGGATGTTGAAACTACTTGTGTCGGCAAGCAGGTGGCTTCTCAAACCTACTATCTTGGGGTAGAATAGTCGGGACTCAGTTTCTGCCACTGTTACTGAGAGTTGGCACTGTACCTTCATGGTTTCCTGCAAGTGTGGCTCCCCCACCTGGAAGGACCCAGGGGCTCCTCTCGTCACCATCCTGCACATCCCACATGTCTCCTATCACCCTGCCTGCCCACGGCAGAGCCGCAAAGGTCTTTGATGGTACCTCCTTCTAGTAACAGTGCCTACCCCCCCTTCCTTAACGGATGGTCTGGTGGGAGGGAAAGCTATGGAGTTCAGCGG